TGAGTAATGTAGAATAAACGATGTTTGTGTACATATTGTAATCATCACTGAGCACGTACCCAACACATATAAAATACAACACATAAAGGGTGTAGACAATATATAAACTTAGAACACTATTAAAAGCTGAATAAGAAAAAAATGTTTAATTATTATGATGAGTAATGTTTTAATTCTGTAAGTATATAATAAAGAACTTAGATCCACCAGATTCTGAACCACACACAATCATTCCACCTAGACTTATATAATTTGAAACCAAAATTTTTATTTTTATTTACTTATTTGCACAAATGAATGATTGATATTTTTCCAGTCCCAGAGATGATATTTTTCCACTCCCAGAGATGAAATTTTCCCATCACACAATATCAAATTTTATATCATCGTAAACTACAGGCATTTCTCCTTTAAACAAAGGGTGTTTCAACATTGCATTTTAAAACTTTAATTGTTTATAATTACATATAAACAAATTAATGATGTGAGAAATATATAGTGGTATTTCTGGATATAAGCCCAAGTGAGACGTTTGGTGTGCCATCACTAGTTGGTGCTGTTAACAAAGCGAAAAGCAAACTCTTTTGTTCAGTTCCCATGGTTAACTTGTAAAGTACAAAGTCCCTAATCCGGACTCAAATCTGGTGAGATGGCATGCAGAAATTATACAATTAAAAATATGAAACTGTAATTTATGAAATAAAGAGCAATTATAATCTAAAGGGTATCAAAATTTACACACACACACACACACAAAAAAAAAAAAAAAAAAAAAAAGAGCTTAATATTTATTTTTTTTACTTTATTAAACATCATTTTCAATGTAAGTTGTTTAAGTTGCTTCATTTTTTGTGCTAAACGTGCATGCATAAACCCATTACGCGCATGCGTAAGCTTATGGCTTTGAGGTCCGGATTATAGATCATTCCGGATAATGGACGACAGAATTACAGACTTTGTACTGTATTAGACACATCTACATCGCTATAATATTTTGTGTTCACTTTCTCTTGCATTCTTCACATGTTTGTGTAGTTACTTTGCAATAATTATTAAGATGTATTTATAATTAATATATATATATATATAAATAATTGTTATTAAGATATTGGTTGAAAAAAAATGGAGAAGCTGTTGTTGTTTTGGCTGAAGCAGCAGTACAGTTCAAAGGATCAAAGTGATAATTTGCGAGTAGGCATGAGTTATGCAGTCAAAAGTCGTTAATTCGGACTCGTCGGGATTTCGGCGATTCCGGATTATCGATTTTTCCGGATTATAGATCATCAGTTTAAATCTCGGAAGAAGGCATGCAGAAATTCTAAAATTAAAAATATGAAACCGTAATTTATGAAATAAAGAACAATTATGATCTAAAGGGTATCAAAATTTACAAACAAAAAAAAAAAAAAAAAAAAAAAAAAAAAAAAGAGCTTAATATTTATTTGTTTACTGTATTAAACATTTTTTTCAATGTAAGTTGCTTCGTTTTATGTGATAATACTTTCTCTTTAATTCTATAAACAGACATAATTTCTTGTTCACTTACAAAGTTCCGCTGTTCAAGTCCCGTTAATTGCTGTGCCGAGAATACCAACTAACTTGTCAATCGAAATTTTTTCATTTTCACTAACCTCTCTGTCACATTCTTCATGTCTTTATCCATTTTTTTGCAGCAATTCCACTTTTTGTTTGATGAACATCGAAACATACTTTTGTTTTGTACGATCCTTTGGGAGCTCCAGAATCGGAAATTCTATTTGACATAATTGAAAGTTCAAGTTTACTTTTATAGTATTGCTCTTACAGTCTGCAAAAAATAATAAGCCGGATCCAATTCGAAAATTAAGGAACAACGCAATCATCAACATTAACTGAAATAGTTAATTAGATAATTTTAGCTTATACCATCCGTTATACATAAAACGCGCACGCGAAAACGAATTCTGTGCTTGCGCACACTCATATGCGCAGTCGTAAAAGATCTTACGCGCACGTGTAAACGCCTATGCGCATGTGTCAACGCGGAGCATGCGCAGAAAGTTTTTAGCTTTGAGGTCCGGATTATAGATCATTCCGAATTATGGGTGTCCGGATTAACGACTTTTGACTGTACATGACTATTTGCTACAGATGACCCCAAGCTCTTCAAACAGTGAATCTGAAGAGATCTATATTCGAAGATAAGTCATTGCTTAAATATTTATTGGTTTTAAACGTTTAAAAAGTGAGTTGGAAGTCACTTCATTAACAAGCATGGTGAAGCAGAGAACTCAGACATGAAGCCAGTGGAGGAATTCTTTAAACCTTTTACAGCACTGACAGAAGTCACAAGGTATAACCCCCAGTAAATCTTCAACTATGATGACACAGGGCTCTTCTGGAAGAAGATACTAAAGAAGACTGACATAGCGGTTGAAGAATAAAGCTGCCAGGACATAAATCAATGAAAGACAGGTTGATCCTTGTCTGGGTGCAAATATGAGTGGAGGTTTCAGATAAATCCACTGCCCAGAGTACCTAGGTACCCTAGAGCAAGGGTACCCAACTTTTTTGCCCCTAAGAGTACATCCTAGAATATCTGTTGGATGGCATGTATCATTTACTTTTTCAAGGTGAATTTATAGTTGGATAGAGTTAATAATATATGCGTATCAAAAAAGAGATTGGTCGCATTTCGCTTTATGCTGGTATCTGTGTTGAACACAATTTCTATTTCATTAAAATTGAGAAAACTTTCACATAGAATTTTATTGAAAACTAAAACATTTTTATAGTGATCGTGCCCTTTAAACATTTATTTTTATAGTGGGCACACTTTAAACGATTGGTGGGGGCCACATGGGCATAGAGTTGGGAACCCCTGCCCTAGAGCACTTAAGGCCCATAAAATTATAAAAAAGAGACTCAAGATTAAGTGAAGAGCAAACTGAAGACACCTTCAGTTATTATCCAGCAGTTCTTGTAGAGTGGATCAACCTGGCCTTTGGTCTTATCGTTAAAAATTATCGAAGGGGAAATAACCCACAAAACCTTCTTGTACTTGACAATGCTCCTGAACATCCACCTTCAAAGCATTTCAAAGATAAGATCCTAAAAGAGTTCATCAAGTTTCTCTAGCTTCCACACAACAAGATTCCTAACCTGCAACATACAGAGCAGCACCTAGTTAACTAATGCTTTGATGTGATGGAGAGCACCAACCTCACCATTTGTGAGCTCTGGAAGACCATTATAATATTGCAATAGGCCTAAGATGTAAAATGACAATGCATTTCAGGGAGGACGACCTTGAATCCTGCTTGGAAGTAGTTGTGGCCTGAGACTGTATTTGAAAAGGGTTTTGAAGGATTTAAACCCAAATCTGTAGAAGAAATGCTGGAGGAGATTGTGTTCCTTTGCACTTGGTGGAGAAGGAGGAGAATGTAAAAAAACATAATGAGAATTACTCGGAGAAAACTATGACTGAAAAATTAAATTAATACAGATCAAGGAACAAACAGGTTTTGAAGAAAATTAACAACAAGGAGGAAGAAACAGCACAGAAATTAAAATTTATAAAACCAGTTTATTTCTTTACATTATCTTTTATATTCTTGTACAAGATATATTTTTAAAGCACCATTTTGAAATGCCAGCATGGCAGTGCTGCAGTCGGCAATCTGCACTGTTTACCTACATCTGTTGGAAAACTTTAAATAAGATGTCATTATGGAAACTTTTGACCAATTTAGGAGAGGAAGGAGGTAATATTTGTTTTTGATTATTTAAAATGGTTCCGCTGATTGAGACTCCCCGCCAACTGTGAAATACGATGAGTGGTTTGTCTTCTTGGAGCTAATGACATGGAAGTGGCTGAAATTCATTGTCAGATTAGTGAAGAGTACAGGGGAAACATTTTGAGCAATGGAATGGTATAAAAATGGATAAGAGCTTTTAAAAATGGCTACACAGATATTCATTATGATGAACAAATTGGCTGGCATTCTGCCATTTGGTACAGAAAGTTGATAAATGAGTGAAACAGAACTCACACTTGATGATTTTGTCATCAAGATCATTTGATGACTTTCCTTGGGTTTTACACAGTATTCCCTATGAAATTGTGAATGATTGCTTAAATGATAAAAAACTGTCTGCAAGCTGGATACCAAAAATGTTGACAGAGGCACACAAAACCAAATGTTTAGATAGTGCTTTGACTTTCAGCAATGCAGCGAGGAAGATAATTTTTTAAGCCAAACTGTCCCAGGTGACAAAACCTGGGTGACTTATGCTACACCAAAATTGAAACAGCAACCCATGGAATGGTGGCATTCATCATCACCCAAGACAGTAAAGTTCATCCAAATGGTTTCAGTCCAGAAAATCTTGTGTTTTGAGAGAGGAAGAAGGTATTGTTTGTGGATTTTTTATTATGTGGTGACACAATGAATTCTATGATGTATTGTGAGAGCTTAAACAAACTGTTAGGTAGTCTTCACCACAATGAAAAATGGCATCAAACAGAACTTTATTCTCCATAGCTTATCTCTGCCTGTATATGAATTCTGATAAGCATGAAGATAAAAATAATAAGCTGTACTTATTCCTCCATTTTGTTGGTGGCCACATACATTCCACTGCTTGCATGTGGATATCAATCTCAAGATCAAAGTAGACATTGAAATAAAAAAGGAGCCATCCTCGTTAAGCCCCCCTAAAAAGAAAAACAGAACATTAATAAGGGGGAAAAGAACCAAAAGGCTTATTTTTGTAGAGAAATCTGGATCAGATACTAAGGCTGCCAAATGCTTACAAGAATCAGAGTTGCAGGTGATATTTTTGGCGATGTATCAGCAAGTATTAAACAATCAATAAGTACCCCTTCCCCTCAAAAAAGTTCTACATTTGCAAAAAGTATTATATTGAAAGTAAAAACACTTTGCAAGATTCACCTCACAGTATTTTCACACAAAATCAATTTATTAAAAATAAAAAAAATAAAAAATAAAAGTACTAACCTTTTGGGGTAGTGGGCAATTTTTTACTCCTTGACAAATTTGAACTATATCTGTTTTTCTTAGGAGTTTGTGGCTGAGTTTCTTTTGGAAATAGGTTACGTCGCACAGTCTGAGATTTATCTTGAACACATTTAGATTTATCCTTTTTCTTTTTCACTGCTAGACGTGGTGAGAATCTAACTGCCTTTTTCTGAATGGCTGATGATTTAACCTAAGAAAAAATAAAACATTTAGTAAATTATTTTTACATTTCTGATGTAGTACATAGTAGAAGACATGTATTTTACCTTTTTCTTTTTTGGAGATGTTCCAGGTAATAAGATTTGGCGGCTACTTTTAGTATCTGAAATATCACTACGCCGTCTGATGAGTTTCCTACAATAATAACAAAAATCTTATCACAGAATTGAAGCAAAAACTTTTAAAAAACATGTATAAAAAATAAACAAATGATTAAATTCAGGAAAAACCTAAATTATGCTATTTCCAATCTTTGAAGCTAGATCAAATGAGTGCTGAAGTCATGTTTTTGCCACCAAACACTATGTCATTCCCTCAAAAATTTCAATAAATGTATGATCACAGATTTTAACTATTATTGATTCAATTATTAATATTATTAGGGCAAATTAAAACCAAACAGATTTCAGCAATGCATTAAAATATGAAAAATAATCAGGATTGACAACCATACACAGCAGAAAAAACTGACAAGTTTTGACTTTTAATAAAAAAGAGTTGAAAGATGAATAACTGCCCATTGTTATCAAATTTATGTTCAAAAGTTTTACTTGATGATCATGGATTAATGATTAATAGCTGTCCTTTTGATTAAATGGAAAGCTGCTGGGATAGATAGATTTCCTTTAAATATTCCTTAGAAGATTTAAAGCAGTCATGGAGAAGAAATGACCTCATGCCATAATTGTCAAAAATGAATACTGGAGGAACTTAAAGAGCTTATCACAGCTGCAAAAGAATAAGCAATGTTAAAGGATGAAGTGAAAGATTTATTAGAATATTTTTCTTTAGATGGCCAGCTAACTAATCATACTCTCAAATTGGATCTGCTTGAACAACTTGAATAAAGGAGATAAAAATTAAAAAATGAAACTCAATGAATTATAAAAATATGCTTAAAAAACAGTCTTTGTAATGTTCCTTTTTCTTGCCTCATTCATTGACCCATAATTTTTTTTGTGTCATTAATTTTTATTGCTAAACCCCTCCCAAAAATTATGAAAGTTTATCTGTATATAAGTTCATATTATTATCATTTCAATGGAAAATATCCAATTTCTGCATGAATCACCGACATTGCAACAAATCTATAAAAAAAATTATAATTTATAAGATATAATGCAATTCCTACATTAAATAATAATCCAATTCCTAAATTAAAGTTTAAAATTAGAAAGCATCTTAAACTACTGATCACATAAAATAAAGGGAGAGTGTAAGAACATTTGAAAATAGTTTTATTTTTTAAAACCCCAAAACTTAACAAAACAAAGCTTTGATAAATTGCATTTTTATTTTAAAAGGAAATAGTGGGGGGAAAAAAAAGGACCATGAGGAAAGTACATGAGATAGCTTGACATATAGATTAGTAATACACCTTAATGATTTGTAAAATTTCAAAGAAAAGAACTTTTCAGCTCTATTTTTTAGCTGCCACATTTAAGTTAACATTATTTAGTTATGAAGCTTCCTAACATTTCCTTAGCTAAACATGCACTTAGCCAAACATGTTACAGTTGAGTTTTGATGAGCTTAATCTGTGAAAATTTTTTGATGCAAAAGAGCTATTAAAACATAATTAAAAATAAAGAAATTCAATTTTTAATTGCACATTTATGTTAGAAAAATCCTAATAAAATAATATATCATACAGATCTAATAGAGCATTAGATGATACATATCTGCTTGAAAGTGATAAGTTGTTTAAATGATTAAGCAACTTCAGGACTAATTTGTCTAAAGAAAGGGCTGTCTTTGAGAAGACTTTCTGAAAGAAAATGACTTATATTCAAGTTAACTAAGGGGAAAACCATAGAAATGCCCATAATTAGCCAATCTATCCACCAGATCTGAATCAAAATTGAACAAACAATTTTTAGTAATCTTATACACCAGGGCAATGATGGGCTCAGGAAAATGATAATGCTAATAAATGTACTTTTCAGTTAATAGATGCGTTTTTTTTAACACTGGATAATAACCTTTCTTTCAGCATCAAAAATAAATATGTAAAATCATTAATGTTGTAGGGTTTATATTTATTTTAACTAACATTTATTTTAAGTTTAAACTATCTTTCCTGTCAAGCCTTACTTTCCCCTGGAACTGCCAATGCCAGAATATGTAAATTTTAGTAGAACGCGCAAGGATTCAAATTATCAGCGGAAGTATTATGATTTAAATAGGAAGGAAACAAGTTCGGTGTGTGATATTCTTACTTCACGAGTGCGGAGGTAGTTAGCGAGAAATTGAAAAACCCCGCGTTTCGGCCTATGTGCTTGGCGGGAAGTAGTGATAATCGTTCCAGTGAGCTTCAAGTCTGCTGAATTAACAGCGGTATTGTAAAACGCGGTGAGTTAGTTATTTTAGAGAGCCTCGTAGTTAGAGTCTTGTCTTTAGTTTCTTTTCAGGTTATTATTTTTATTTGACCGCCGAGTTGGCGCAGTCTGTGAGCGTCAAGAGCACGCAATTGTAATTTATTACGTTGAATAAAAAGGGACTTAAACCCTTCACAAGACTCTGTGTTTTATACAGTTTCCACAGTCACCTCTTGGTTGCGTGCAAGTTGGAGGCGCGCAACGTTACAATGTAAACAGTCTAACAATAATAGCATTTTAAAATACTGGTTTCTAATTTTTTAAAGAAATATATTTCACAATATAAGATAAAAGTGTAAAATGTGAAACAGATGAATTTTGCTTTGTTTCAAATAAAATGTAGTTACTTTTTCTTACCCCCCTTTTTTTACAAATTTTTAACACAGTTCTTTTTTAACATCCACAAAAGTAAGAGCACTTTGTCTTCCGGGATACGCAAATGATCTGGAAAATCATGAGGATGTTTCTACTTGCAAGATTCTACAAATAAAGCTTAAAATATTACTTGTGTTTCTCACCGAGAAAGAAATATAAAAAAACTTTCTTATCACACAGTTTGATATATTTCATCTTTAGGAATTTTTTGACTCAGTATATTACAAATTTCTGATTACTTAAGTTTTCCATTTACTACTAAGCACCCCCCCCAAAAAAAATCTTAATTATTTTTAATGAACAGACTTTATACATCTTATGAGTAAAAAGGTAAACATTTGGGTTAGGTATTGGAATACAGCTGATTAGAGTTCAAAAATAAATTAATAACATCTCAAAAATTATTATTAATCAACTAATGCACTAAAAATTTGCATTTTCTAAGGTTTTTTCCCCTCCCCCACCTTATTATCAAATATTGTTTGGTAAAAGTATAATATAGGTCACATTTTAAATAAAATTATGAAAATAAAGACTAAAAATGTGAAATGGAAAAGACAGAAATCAATAGAAGAAAAAAAAACATACAAAGAAAAAGAGGCAAAAAATGTGGTATTCATGGATGAGAGGAGGAAATAGAACAGAAAAATAACTTCTTTATTCTATTCTCTGCAAATTTTCTGTCCACTAGCTCTTCTCTCCTCAGTATATGAACTTTCTTTTTGAAAATTTGGAAGAAAGAATAGAAGCAAACAAAAGAGGAAAAAAGAAAAGATGCAGATAAAAACAGGTAAAAGATGAAGAGGATGGAGAGAAAAACATGTAGCATAGAGGGAAGAGAAACACTGCAGATTGAAGAGACTGTCCTCTATCTTTTCTGCAATATTTCTCTAATTTCCTTTTCCTATCTAATTTTGTTTCATCCTTTTGTTGACAAAATTAGAATATTTAAGTACTGATGTACTTTCCCTGTTTTTAAAAAATACTTTTCTATCTGAAATGTTTTAGAAACTGTACTACACTGCTTACAAATGCAGCCAATCCAATTTTTTGATAAAGTTATGAAATAACTATTATGTTATTTCATAACTTTATCAAAAAATTGGATTAGTTATGAAATAACTAGTTATGACTAGTCAGCTAGACTGTGTAGAAAAGGATCTGAAGAACCTTGAAGTCAGTAAACTCATGGTCATTAGTCAAAGACAGAAAATATTGTAGAGGAATTACTGAAGCACACATTGCTTGTAAGTTGCAGGTTGGAATACAGATAAGAAAACTTTTATGGGACATATAACAACATTTTTAATTTGATGTTAAATTGAGAAAATATCCCATTTTTTCCTCCTATCTACCACAGTACCAGAACCAGAAGAGATGGAAAAGAGTAAACAGTCAAGTGCTTACAATATCTAGATACAATATCATTACATAAATGACACATACTGAAATATTTCAAAGTTTTAAATTTTAAATATATTAACATTTTTAACTACCTGTAACTTGTACTTGTTGAGGATGCTTCAGAGAATGTTAGAGATAGTCCTGAACTTAACTCAGGATCCGGTATTGATGTTAAAGAAGCAATATCATCCATGCTGTCTGGAGATTCTGCATCACCAACGATAGGAATATCCAATTCATCTCCAATATTCACAAGAATATTGTATAAATTATGACTGTAGCTAAAATAATTTTTGTATCAGTTTTAAATAAAATATAATTCATATATCAATTCTTTAAAAAAAATATATTTTTATTTATTTATCTGCAGATTCTGCTGAAATACATTCTTTTGCAAAGACAAAAAAGGACATACCATGAAGAAAGTGATTGTTTTTATTGAAATTAAATATGCATAAAGATCATACACAGGTAATGGAGTGATTAAAATTCAAGGCCATTGGACCCATCAGTGTTGCACATTGAAAGTTCAAATCAATAATTGGAGAACCTTCTCTGCTCGCAAAGCATCCTTGTAAAAATTGAGGTAAAGAGTGATAAAGATTCCTAATTTCATACTGTGATACATTCTGCCAGGTATTCCTCAGTTGTTGCTCCAGATCTACAATATTTTTTGTGCCTGAGTCTGATGGCCTACAATATCACATACAAGTTTGATTGTCGAAAAATCTGGTAATCTTGCTGGCCAAGGAAGAATATCAGCAGCTCGGATATATTCCAGAAATATGCTAGCCATATATGGTCTAGCATCATCCTGTCAAAAATGGTTTCAGTATGGCATGCCATCTAGAGTATTGCAGACAATTGTATTATTGAGCTGTTAAAGTTGTATGTAGGATGACTAGAGTGACCTGCTGTCATATGAGATAGTACCCCACACCATTACACCAAGGATAATGACTGCATGCCTCTGTAAAACAAAGATTGATTGAGACTGCTGTCCCAGGTCCCTTCACATATGGACCCGATGGTCATCTGCTCCAAGACTGAAGTGGGATTCGTTGCTGAATATACGTGATGTAAATTTGCTGGCAGCCATGATGACTAGCTATGGCACCATTCCAGACAACTCTGCTGATGAAGGGGTTAAAGGCAGATGTCTTAGACTGCTAATCCTGCCTCACCGTGGAATAGTGGAAGGTGCCATAGGTGATATGGAAGAGGCTGAACCACACTGGATAGCAGACAATGATGACATTTGGGCAGTTTGGGCCATCCCACAATCATCTGGTCTTGCCTCAGATTCATGCACTTTCACCTTGATCCACTGATAAGTAAATTGCAGCAACCTTGCATAGCCATGTCCATATGGTGCAGGTGGCGGCCTATCACTCAGCATGACCAGCTTTCTTCACGCATCGCCACTATGCACTATGCAAAGTTATCCAATTGTCTGTAAAGTTCTCGATAGCATCGTAACAGCATTATTGGTTGTCTCTAGGGAACTGTAATGCTGACGTGAAAAATAAATCATCCACAACTGTTACCTGTTTTATATGATACTACAGTACAAAGTACGTAATCCGGACTCGTTGGGACTTCGGCGATTCCGGATTATAGATCATCAATTTAAATCTGGTAAGATGGCATGCAGAAATTATACAATTAAAAATATGAAACCGTAATTTATGAAATAAAGAGCAATTATGATCTAAAGGGTATCAAAAAAAAAAAAAAAAAAAAAAGCTTAATGTTTATTTGTTTATTTTAGTAAACATTTCTTTCAATGTAAGTTGTTTAAGTTGCTTCGTTTTTTGGGCTAATACTTTCTCTTTAATTCTATAAACAGACATAATTTCTTGTTCAGTTACAAAGTTCCAATGTTCAAGTCATGTAATTGCTGTGTCAAGAATACCGACTAACTTGTCAATCGAAATTTTTTGTTTTCAATAACGTTCTCTGTCACTTTCTTCACTATCGGAAGCATGCATGGGTAAACACTTTACTGGCTTTACGTGCATGCATAGCAGATGCGTGCATCAAACGTGCATGCGTAAGTTTGTGGCTTTGAGGTCCGGATTATAGATCATTCCGGATAATGAACGTCCGGATTACGGACTTTATACTGTATTTGTGCAGTAGAAACAAATGCTACCAAAGTTAACAATCATTGTCCTTGAAATGAAGGAATTTGCACACAAAATTTCGAGTTAATTGGATTACTTTTTAAGTATGCTTCTTCTTCCTTCTTTTTTTTGGAGGGGGGACAGGTGGCAAAAGAGTTTATGTAAAGAAAATAAAAATGTTTATGACATATAATTTGTGTAAGCAGATAAAGAAAAGATGCATTACTGTATTCTTTATAAAATCATATGATGCATTTATGGGAAGGAAGGATTCATAATTAAAGTTACAAAAACAATAAATCAACTCAAATATGCACCAATACAAAAATTTCTTAAAAAATCATGAATGAAAAATAACAATAAAAATTCAGGAAATAAAAGGAATTTTTTTTTCATTATCTTTAAGATACATTACTCTACATATTTCAACATTTTAAAATACAGGGGTGGATTCTACAAATTTATTTTCAGTAATACAAACTTTTCATATAATGCCAAATGCTCAAACAGATCCTGTTTTAAAATATAATACTCACCTTCAGTACAAAAGTTAGTCTCATAACAGAAATTATTCTGTGACTTACTTTTCTTTTAATAATTCAAAAAGAAGTTTATTAAGCTCTGATGCACCACTATAAAAAGACATTGCTCTGAGAAATGAAGTAACCTAAATAGATAAATAATAACAACATAAAAAAAGCTGACTGATAGTGTTTTTTTTAAATTTAGTTTTTAAGAAAATGTTTTAAAAGCTACAAACAAAATATTAAAGAAATTAAAAAGGAAAGACAGATTTCAGAGTTGAAACATATTTTAATATATAATATACAAAAATCAATAGACATTTTATTATTTTTCAAGTCAACAGTTTACTCATCTAGTGATAATAAATTACTCTTACAGGCTTGGATATTCACAGAAACTTTTTCACGAGGGGCAAAGATTGGCAAAAAATAATTAAATCAATAAATTTTTCCTTAATTACTTAATTTGCAGCATTTACAAGTAAATTATAGAATATGGTATAACATATATACAAAAAAGCATACATTTACTACACATGCATCAATACTAAAATATACTTTTTACGTGATTCTAGGCTATGCAGTATCCAAGAATCGAGAAAAAAGAATGCTCCTTTTGCAATGAATGAAAAAAGAGATGCCTTCCTCTGCTCATGTTGATAAGCAAAATAGAAAGTATTTTTTAAAATATCCCTGGCTACATAATCCCAACTCTGCAAAATGGTTCCAGAAATATTTTTCAATGATTTCACTTTGTATTAATTCTGCTTTCTCACATACTATCAATTCATGCAGTACTTGCCCAACAGCTAGTTTAATTACCTGCATAACTGGCCTCTAATAATATGGATTTATTTTTAGCAGTAGTTTCAACTTTACCATCAGCTACTGAATTTGAATCCAATTTCTGATATTAGCTGACTGAAAATTTCTGAATCCAAAGAAACATTTTGAGAAGATAAATGCGTGAAAATAAGAAAATATTATACTAATAAGAACTACTGAAAATACTGGTATTATTATTTAAAGGTGATATTGAAGTTCTTTCCTTTTTTATTGTCATTTTCTTCAGTAGAAAGACTGAATATAAGTACACAACTTATTTAATAATTCTATAGAAATTATGGATAAAGGACTTTAAAAAAAAATAATTTTAATTTGGAAATATTTGTGTCTTTTTAAGTATTTGAGATGTATTAAAAGAAATATTCAAGAATATTAAGTTATTTGTCAGAAATTTAAGTAATGGATCAAACAATTCAAATCATAAAACTCAACTGAGGAGTTTTAAAGTAAAATAAAAAAAAAAAAAAAAAAGAAAGAAAAGAAAAGAATTTATATATGAATTATATTTTATTTAAAACTGAATTAAATTATTTTAGCTACAGTTTTATTTTAGCTAAAAAAATTATTTTAGCTACAGTTGTAATTTATACAATATTCTTGTGAATATTGGAGATGAATTGGATATTCCAAATTAAAAGAAAATGAAAGCTTTATTTATTAAATATCATGTTCTTTACACTTAAACCATAAAATTCAGTTCAACAGTAATTAATGTCGCAAAATAATTTTAAAATGAGCATATCTTTAGAATTTCCGATACACAGTTACGCACGCAGTTAGAATTCGTTAAAGTTTTACAAAATATGAAATCGATAATAAAACAAATTCCAAATTTGGGTATCATTTGCAGTATTATTACGTCATTCAAAAGTGGATGGCTCTAGGTACTGTTGTTTTATCACAATGCGAGAAACATACATACATTTATGCAGATTCTTCATTATTTAATTTCTTCAAGTTTAATACAGAGCGAATGTGTCGGGGGTCGACCCTTTATAATCTTATGGTCCAGTGGGACTAGGAGGATTGGGTCTTCCCTGTATTATGACTATTATGACAGGGCGAATGTATTCAGTGACAACGATTTGAAAAGTGATACATCCTTTTAAAAATTTTCAATGCAAAATCGCAAAACAGTAGTCCTTCAGGAATAAAAGCACCTTTGGACTAAAAACTCAGCAGAAGGTGAAAAAATAACAGTAATGTCAGTCTTTTCTATTGTATTCTGTTTAAACCAACTTGAAAACTACAACAAGCATAATTTGAATTAAGTACATAATCAACTACTATAAGTTTAGAATAACTGAAAAGTAAAATTAAATCTTTCTTACAATTTTAACACAAGAGGCTTCATCACTAGATTTGAAAAGTGCTTCTAGCTCAAGAGCTAACAATGCTTGCATCTGGTACCTGTAATATATTTATAAACATGAAGTAAAAATAACAAAAATAAATCATAATTGGAGGGGAAAAAAGATAGAGAAAAAAGCATACTTACTCTTTAATTCTTTTATTTGCAGATTCTTCATTTTCACATGTATCATATTTTTGGTGAATTTTTAGAACTGTTGAGAAAAAGTTATCTTTCACAAACTGCTTTACATTATCCTGAAACAAATACTTATTTATGATAACAGTACAGAAATATACTATATACATAAAGCTATTTGACAGCAAAATAAATATAACATGAATAATTTTGAAAGATACTTTAAACATTTATATGCTACCTCATAAGATGAAGAATTTTCTTTCTGAAAGAAATGGGATACATTTTTTACTATTTTCTTTGCAGCCTGAAGAACAGACCCAGAAGGTTCTAGTGCTGAGCTGTAAATATTTTCCAACATAGCTTTCAAGTCAGCAGAATTCAGATCTAGAAAATAGAAAAGGAATCAACACTTTTTTTTTTTTTTTTTTTTTCCTTTTCTGAAAGTGATATGAATACACATGTAGCACATAGGTTAATATAATAAGGAATTTGAATAAAACTTGATTTTTCGTCTCATCAAATCAAGCATAAATCAATTTACATTTCAGTTCACATAAACTATTATAAAGCATAACACTATGTAAAATGTTTCATACTGTGTAAAATGTAACAGCATAATAACGACACCATTAAGATCAGAAAAAGTAAAAACTAAATTTTAAAATTTTACTCAAATATATTCATATCATTGTAAAAAGCATGCATTAGGAAGATGGAGACAATGAAGAAAGACGTTAACAAGGCAGGAATAAAGACTTTCTCTCTGACAAATATTTTCCAGTTGTGGATGTTAAGATTTCAAATGACAGGCATGTCACATAATATATGTACACTGCTCAAAAAAAAAAAAAAAAAAAAAAAAAAAAGGGACAGTGCTATATCTTCCCGTTCTACTGGGCCGATTGACAAAGTTCAAACTGCGTTTTGTCTCGAAAGTGCGACTTAGGATATATATTAGATTTATATATAGCACTATTCTAACATAGGTATTTTGACACAAAATCGGACTTAGGATATATATTAGATTTATATATAGCACTATTCTAACATAGGTATTTTGACACAAAATCGGACTTTTTCTGAAATAACATACCAATTTTTTTCCATATTTCGATTCTACGACTCAATTATGCCAGAATACCAAGTTTTTGTAAACCGTAAAGTAGATAGTTTTCAAAATATTAGCTCTCAAAATTTTAGCTCCTCAATGTTAATTGAATTTGGCAAATATTTATTAATATCTCTTTTTTATTAAACTTTTTTATTTTTTTTTTCCTTTCACATTTCGAAACTTAGGTTCATTCCAAATAAAATTTACCCATTTTTTGTGTTTTATTTTTAAAATTTTCTATTTTTAATAATTTTATAAATTTTTCAAAAAAAAAAATTGAATTATAACCTATAAAATGTTTACCATCATCTTAAAGTAGGTGATTTTTAAGCATATCTGCAAAAAATGAGACTTTTTTTTATTCAAATTTTCTAAGATATACACGAATTTACATATTTTCGCGTTTTGAAATTTGGCATCTTTTTTTTGAGCGATAATAACGCCAAATGTGGTTTATGGATTTTGTTACAGTGAATTGCCACAGCTATTTTTAACCTTAAATTTCAAGTAAAATTTTACGGAGAATTAATAATATGCTATTGTTTCTCTCAAGATGCTAATAAATATTTATTAATACTATATGAAAAGTTATTTTTTTTTAAATTATAGATGATATTATTCAAATTTTTAACTATTTTTTTAATTTCTATCTTTCTTCCTTTTTTTTAAAAAATAAGAGTAAATTTTGTAAGAGTAAATTTTTACCTTCAGCGTTTTATCGTCTGTTTACTTACTTTAACTTCGCTTAATTCGAATTGTCTAAAACTGAGAATTTTCATTTGATGTTATTTGAATTTTATGAAAATATTTTATGACATTAACTGCAAATTTATTTCTAAACAAACTGTTGCTTATGAAGTGGCTGAAAGAGCGGCTGATACTATCATCCATATTTTTAAATCACAGTGTATTTTTATAGAAATATAAGATTTAGAATAATCATTTTTATAAAAGTCAAATTATGATATAAACATACAACCCTCTAGAGACTGAATTAATGGAAGTTCAATGGTTATGTAGAAATGATTTGCAGTTATTTAATGGCTGGATAAGTCAGCAGGTTCTGTGGACAATCCTTAAAATTCTAATTTAGAATGTAATTGTCAAGAACTGAATCCTGATCATCAGTAGTATAATAAGTAATTATTACGGTTATTAATAAATCCTTCTTATAAAGTAACTGCAAATATTTCAAAAAACTTTCTGTCTGAATGCAAATATTTTTAATTTTATATTAATCAAGATTGCACACGATATTATTTATTTACACTTCAATTTTTACCGTCAACTCTAGTAGAAGTTACAAATCAATTATATTTAATTAAAGGATTGAATTGGATGGATGGATTATTTATTATGGCAAAGCACACGAGGGCTATCTGCCTAAAGGGAGGGATGCTTTCGTGGAGGACTTTCTAAGGGAAACTGTCTGGTAGACACGTTACGCATGGGGAAATCCACGAAAACGCCCATGCAGCCAGCCCGTTAGCGGGATTCGAACCTCAGACCGAACTACCAGTGTTCAGCGTCTTTACCACTCGGCCGCTGGTGGGCTATTTAATTAAGGAATGACTATCTAAGTTTAGAAACAGGGTACCGTAACAGCAATTCAATTATTGGCGCCGTATCTTTCATGTTACTCCCGATTGGCAAGCTACATGATTTTTAATGAGTATTCGAGTTTTGCTAGTAACATCACTTGGAAATCGCGCCTTTAACTAAGTTAGTTGGTTATTTGAACATAGAAACAACATGGGAGCTATTTGATTAAGATGCTTTCATAGAGAAACTTTGTAAGGAGAACATAGAAAACTATGAAAACCAACCATGCAGCCTGGGTTAGATGTCGCAACAAACAATTAGTATTTAACAATCTTCAAATGCTAGGCAGCTGATGAGGCTCCAAGTAAATCTCCAATTTAATATTTTATTTGTAAATATTTAAAAAATATTGTTGTATTCTTAGACGCAAAAAGCAGAATTTAAGTTTTGTTAATTCGTTAGTTAACTGCCAAGCCGTAGTGCAAATGAATATTCAATTTCTTTTGCAATAATTGTATTCACTTAATATTCTTGGAATATGAGCTAAAGAAGGTATGTTCTCGCAAGATTAAAGAAGTGTTTAAATCCAGTGATATTAGATTTGTCTTACAAGCTCAGGATCAAAACTATTCTGCAATTACCGAGTAGTTGACTTGTAAATGGCTCTGAATTAAGCAGATGACTTTTAATCTTATGTTATTCAGTCAGAAAACGTATTCCAAATCTTTTCATTATTCAATAACCAGTCGAAGAACCGCTTGTGTTCCGAAAATAAGTATGTGTACTCAATCGTCCTGCATGTTCTTCAAATTTGTCTTCTTGTGATTTTTTTTTCTTTTCCAAAAACTAAAGTTGCCTCTCAAAGGAAAGTTTTTTGACATTGAAGAGACAAAAGGAGTATGACATCTAATTTTAGAGGCATGTCAAAAACAGATCTCTACAAGCCTTCTCTTCCATTACATGTTGTGCAGTCAGACAAAACGTTGCATCAGTGCAAATTCTATAATCTATTTTTATTACACTCTGATTACATTATTAACATACAGTGAATATGTACTAAATCTTTTACTTCAGCTTAAGTAATTCGGAATTTTTGACGGAATTGTTGTCGGAACTAAAACTTAGAAGATAAGTCAAATTAAATATTTCGATAACCCAATAAATTCAAGGTCGAAGTTTCAATATTTGATTTTCGGAGGGAGGGGAAATTTTTTCAGTTTTGGTCCATTACCCTAAGTATATTTTCTTCGATTCTTTATTTTTCCATAAAAGCAAAAAATTTACGCATGATATACACATAACGCATAGCTTCAAATTAAAATTTAATAATAAACAGAGTAGTTATAATTAAAGTTCCACACTGAAACTGTCATAAAAGGAAAACTACTGGATCAAATGTTATCAAATTTGGTAATCGTGTAAAGGAGGTCATGGGAATTTATTTTCCGCAAAAAGAGGAAGTTCGAAACCTCACCACCAGGGCAAAATGGCGCTGTATACAATATTGTTAAACAAAATATGGGTCGGAATCTAACTTAACCTTTTGTTACACGAGTTTAATATGTTGTATACCCTTAAGAAACTTTGAAGTAAGCAATATCATTTAAAGGAGGCGTTAAATTCGATAAACGTCGAGTGTGCCATCCATGTAAGTGAGAATTTCCGTCCTGTGAAAACCACGAATTAGCGATTAGAAAATGTGAGATCGCAAATCACTCGCACAAGTGCGAACAATCTGGAAATCGTTTTCTGACAGATCGCTAATTTGTAATTTTTGAAGCCCTGAATTCGGCCCTAAAACATGAAGACACTGATTCAAAACGCTTTTTTAAAAATCGATTTGGGCCGAAAGAAAGTCCCTCATGTTATCTACCTAGTTCCATTGCATTCTCCTACTGCATTCGATTGCATAGCAGTCATTCACACACCGTTTAGTGTTGAATGACAGCTAGTTTTATAATTGAACCATTTTTCTCTGAAGAGCAGTCGACAGCTGGACCTACTGTGATTGCAGCTCACTTAGAGTCAATGTTAAAAGGTTTCGTGATACATGAACTGCAGTAATTGTGGCATTTTAGATGCTACGATTTTTTTACGCAGGGCTGGGCCCCACCTCACATGTGTCCGCACAATTACTTAGGCAACATTTCACGAATGAACGTCTTATAGGTTGCAACACTTCCCTTCTTCCCAACCAGACCTCAACCTCTGTGACTTTTAGCTATGGGGATTATCTCAAGAAGCACTGTTTATGGTGATAATCTAAACAATTTGGCAAGAAATGAAAAATGTGATACACCTGACATGTCCTGTAACATTCCTCCTGATATGCTAAGAGCTGCTGTTGAGAATGCAGTAAAAGGATTTAACTTGCTTTCGGAAAATGCTGGACGCTAAATTGAGCATGCTTTGTAACACGTTTTGGAAACTATTAAACACATTTTAAACAGATGTTTTCATGTCTTATTTCATTTAACAATATTGTATACAGCGCTATTTTTGCCCTGGTGGTGAATTTTTGAACTCTTTTTTTTTTTTTTTTTTTTTTTTTTTTTTCCGCGGAAAATAAATTCCTATAACCTCCTTTACACGATTCCCAAGTTTGATAACATTTGGTCTGGTAGTTTTCCTTTTATGACCATTTCAAATTGGAATTTTAATTATAACCACCATGTAAATTTAAAAGTTTGACAGTTTGGTTCATGTCCCAGCTTTAAAAATATATTATAAATATAATCTTTTATATTAATCCTCTTAATTTTTTTCTCGCGTTATAGATTGTATAAAAAAAAATGATCTTTAATATGATTTAGATCGTTTCAGCCGATATAAAAATCGGGTTACTCGGTGGTACAGAATAAACCCTGCTGGACTGTTTTATTTCTTTGTCATTTAGCAAAAATATTTTAATTAAAATATTTATCCTTTGGACTTCGCTTTAAACTTTATTTATAGTTAAAATGACTAGAAAATGAAAAGCTGTCTTTGGCTGAAACGCAATTCATGTAATTCATATTTTAAAAAATTAAAAAGAAGAATGCAAAGTTTATGGGAGTCTAGCAATCGAAAAATCTAAATTTTCTTGTGTGAGCACTGAAAATAACTGTAGAAGGAAAGAAGAAAATTAGGGAGAAAAGTAAGCAAAAATTTGCTGGGAAATTTGGCTGTCAGACATACCAAGATGTTTCAAAAAGTTGAACGCTTTTGAATATACTTTCAGTATACTTCAAAGAATTTAGGTGCTCAAAGAGAAAACACTTAGACTTGTACACCAGCAAATACCATCAAATGAGTTTGTGTTAACAGAAAAGATAAAAATGATATCATTGCAGATTAAAGTGAAGAGTGACTGGTTTTAGACTATATTGTTGTATAAATTTAAATTACGTTATAGAACATCATATCGTATCATAAATGGAGAATCCCAGGATTTTCTCATTCGAATTATTTGAAGATTCAGGAGTTTATCCAGTGATGTATGTGGATGTAACCTAAAGAGGTTTTTTTTTTTTCCTCCTGGTGAAACAGCGACCGAGCGGTAAAGTCGCTGAACGCTGGTAGTTCGGTCCGAGGTTCGAACCCCGCGAACGGGCTGGCTGCATGGGCGTTTTCGTGGTTTTCCCCATGTGTAACGTGTATGCGAGCCAGTTTCCCTTAGAAAGTCCTCCACGAAGGCATCCCTCCCCTTAGGCAGATAGCCCTAGTGTGCTTTGCCCTAATTAAATAAACCAAAACCTCTTGATGAAACCAGTCTTTCCTTTCATCTCATACCTTCAAAATGTTTAGCCTCTAAAGACTGATAAAGGCTCTGACCAAATATTGATGAAATGGATTGAATTGGATTGTTAAGTTACGTCAAAGCAGGGCTATCTGCCTAAAAAGAAGGATGCCTTTGTGAAGAACTTTCTAAGGGAAACCAGTGGCATACACGTACACATGAGAAAATCCACGAAAACGCCCATGCAACCAGCCCGTTTACCGGGATTCGAACCCCGGAGTGAACTACCAGTGTTCAAGACTTTACCGCTCGGCCGTTTGTGGGCCTTTATGAAATGGAAGGCGATAACTTTATTTAAAATGATTGTCAGAAATATCAAGATATTTCGAAAAGTTGGATGCTTTTTAATATACTTGCAGAATGCCTAAAGAAAAAAAGCAAGAATAAAGTATAATGCCTGAAGAAAAAGAGAAGAAAAAATAAATGTTTGGGTAAAATTTAGTATTTGTATTTTTTTTTTTTTTTTAAATTTAAAACTTTTTAATCTTATGATATTTGATATTTACGATTTCAAAAATAAAATATTTGACTAAAATATGAATAACATTTAAGAAACCAAATGTAGGATAAAACTGTGTAAAGCAATGGGCACAATGATAAAACTGTTTAAAGCAGTGTATGCAAGTCATCCTAAGTTAAAATGTCGGTTATACATCTCTCCTATTTATATATATCTTTTCTGAACGGAACATTGAAAGGCGTGTTAACTGTGCTTATTATGTATTTTCTCTTTTAATAAATGCAGTTTTCAAACGCATTGTAGTCTGGGTTACAAAGTATTCCTCCGAAAGAAACGCAATTCAAATAAATAAAATCAAATTCTGAAAAATTTATATTAACAAATATATTTAAAATGCTCAGTTCGAAGAAATAAATAGAAAATTTTAAAACAATTATCTGAAGAGACAATGCAACACAAACAATTAAAATAAAAGTATAAAATTTAAAAATACCTAAAATATAACTATGACAAAAATATATATAAAGAAAACTATTTGAAAAAAAAAAAATAAATAAATGCTGCAACCTTTATTTACGCAGTTTGAATAGGTAAATAGAAATTTTTAAAACAGTTATTCGAAAAAAAAAAAAAAAAAAACCATGCAACTTAAACAATTAAAATGAAATTCGAAAAAGAAAAAATTACTTAAAATAATAAGTTATAATTAAAAATATAATATAAAGAATATTATTTGGAAAAAAGGAACGATGGTGACTTTTTTTCCTCTCACGGGAAAGGAAACTAGGTTGCCATATATTAAGAAGTTCGCCAAGTGAAGTATTCTTGGCGCAAACTGACAAAAAAGTGCCAACATAAATTTGTGAATTTCTCCGTAAATTTCGCTTCAAATTTTACAAAATTTCATATTTAGGCGTAATTTGAGTCGTAGAATCGAAATATGTAAAAAATTGGTATGTTATTTCAGAAAAAGTCCTATTTTGTGTCAAAATACCTATGTTAGAATAGTGCTATATATAAATCTAATATATATCCTAAGTCGCGCTTTCGAGACATGAAGAATGCAATTTGAATTTTGTCAATCGGCCCAGTAGATCGGGAGATATAGGATTGTCCCATTTTTTTTTTTTTTTGAGCAGTGTACCTCAACAAAGTATGCTCAAACTGTTTCAAACAAATAATAAAAAAAAAAAAAGTGCTGGTCAAGTATTTTTACTATAAACTAAGTAATATTCACTTTCAAAATCAGGAATCATTTAGTCTCGAAATCAGACACAGTCAAACCGAAGTTAATTTTAACTATTACTAATAACTGTTAGATAATATATATATGATTGTACAAGTATATACTCAATTGTTATGCAAATGCTGTAAAGAATTATCGTAATACTGCAAAGTGTAGGCACTCAGATGAACATGGTTTGTTTCAAAACAATAGATACAGAAATTTAGAGTCATAAATGAAAAGTCACGAAGTTATGTATAACTTAAATGACAGTTTTAATTCTACTGGTTTATGTACCTGTGTAATCTTCTGGAGATCCATCTTTAATACTCATTTCCTCAGAAAGTACATCTGATTGTTCGCAGGAAATTGCAGAATCTAAATATTTGAAAAACAGTTTACAAATGATACTGCCTAATTTTCATATCAGCTGCATCTTCACTTTAAGTAAAATATTAAAACATGACCAATACAAAGCATATATATTTATTAACATTAGTAATATATTGTTATGTATTATAAGACAACTGCAATACAATCTGCTCTTTGCAATCTTCTATTGTCAGGGCACTACAATGTATACAACTAACAATAAGTAACACAACAAAAGTTCAGTTACATATTATTGGCATGAATGAATGAATAAATAATTCCAGTCATAGTGTCTGATTTAAGACTTTAGTCTTAAGAAGCATATTTTGAATATAAATTATACAGTAAAATGAGTGTAATGAGTGCCTCTTCTTGATCGCATTTGAGATTTTTCTACATCTATATAACAATTAATATCAATGGAGGATAGAAGTGGCAGGCATCACCAAGTTGGCAGAAAAGAAGGTAGAGAAAGAATGTAACGTGTTCAAAATGAAAATCGGGTTCAGAATGAACCAGCTGTGAGTCAGCTTAATTTTGATCGATTGTTTGAGTTTCAATTTGCAAAATTTAAAATTACCATTGGCTGAAGCATAACGTAACTGCCTACATCATTAGCATTGTGTCGGAATCATGTGAAAAGGAAGCAATTTATTAGAAGAAGTTACTACTTTTTGGATGGAAGGAGGAAATAAGTTAATTAACCATTTGACTGCTACGCGGTGCTAAAGCACTGCGTTCATTTGACTTGAAAACTGTGAAGCAGCGTGTCTTTGTTGCTCCGTGAGTGTGAATGTAGTCTGAACTCACACGTACTTTGTACCACGAGTGCATTCTAAGATAACTTTTTACCATTTTTATATATTTAAAAAAATAACAATGCAGAATTGCTTAGCAGTCAAATGGTTAAAATGCAAAATATGCTGGATATTGCAAATTATGCTGCTTGTCACCTTTTTTATTATACATACATGGCACGGTTCGGTTAGGAGTCATTCTTCTTAACTACATTCTCAAGAGAATAGTTAAAACATAAACACATATTCTTATGGAAGAAAAATTATTACTGAAGTTTGTGCCTCTCAGTAATATCAATTCACTGCGAAAAAATGGATAGTTACATATTTAGAATATTCCATTATATGATTGTTCTTTTACACAGCTGCTAAGCAATTCAGGAGAAATATAAATGGATAGCTAATGTTTTAGATAATTATTTGTTTTAATTTAGTTCCATTCTTAAATTATAGTTATATATTGGTTATACCAATTACATACACATTTCTAGAAAATACAGAAAATATAAAAAACTGAGAACTATTGAGACAGATAATTAAGGTTTAAACAAACTGACAGAAGGTCAATGGCTGTGCAAATTGCAGCCTGTTACAAAGAGCCCCAAGCAACTATTTAGTAACCCTCTTAAAAGGTATTTAATAATTTCAGATACCAAAATTCTTACAGAGTTTATGATGAAACGTTGCTGGTTACAATTATCATTCTCCAGCTGCAATTCACAATACAGCAATAATAAACTATTACAGTCAAAAGTCTTTAATCCGGACTCGTCGGGACTTCGGCGATTCCGGATTATCGATTTTTCTGGATTATAGATCATCAGTTTAAATCTGGTAAGATGGCGTGCAGAAATTATAAAATTAAAAATATGAAACCGTAATTTATAAAATAATGAGCAATTATGATCTAAAGGGTATCAAAATTTACAAAAAAGAAGCTTAATATTTATTTGTTTACTTTATTAAACATTTCTTTCAATGCGCGCGGATGCGTAAAGCATACCCAACATTACCATAGCCGAAATTAGAAAATTGCAACCAGAAAACTATTTGATTGTATTCATGATATTTATAATGACGAGGAAATTTGATTTAAATCATATCAAAGATGGAGTACATCGAGATGAAATACTACATTTAGTAAGGAATTATAAGCCGAATAAAATAAAAACATCTGCCCTGAAGATAACGATAGTGCTGACAAATCAACCTTCCAGTTCATTGCGCCCGCCGCGACGTCCCCTCCCCCCCGCGCAGAGCAGCGTGAAATTGATAAACAGATTTCGGAACGGTTAGATAAACAAAGAATATGCCTTTATCCATTTTTTGTAGCAATTCGTTTTTTGTTTGATGGACATCGAAACATACTTTCGTTTTGTAGATCCTTTGGAGCTCCAGCATCGGAAATTCTATTTGACATAATCGAAAGTTCAAGCTTACTTTTAGAAAATTGCTCTTACAGTCTGCAAAAAATAATAAGCCGGATCCAATTCGAAGATTAAAGAACAACGCAATCATCAACATTAACTGAAATAGATAATTAGATAATTTTAGCTTATACCGTCCGATATATATTTAACGCGCACGCGAAAACGTATTCTGCACTTGCGCAGACGCATATGCGCAGTGGTAAATGTCTTGCGCGCACGAGTAAAATGCCTATGCGCATGCGTCAATGCGGCGCACGCGCAGAAAGATTTTAGCTTTGAGGTCCGGATTATAGATCATTCCGGATTATGGGTGTCCGAATTAACGACTTTTGACTGTATTATGAATTTTTGTATATGTAAATAATTTTGTGAAATTATACTTTTTTGGGGGTATAATATAACATAAAAATCTAGCGAAGCTTTGCCAGAAAAATAAGAATACAGGGGAAATTCTATTCAACATTGAATTAATGGTTATCTCACTAAATTGGCGAGATATTGGCAAGTTGACAGTTTTGGCAATTTTTGTTCCTAAATTTGGCAAGAAACTTCCAAATTCGCAAAACTTGGCAATATTATGGCCCGCTTCCTATATAATTGTGATAGGTTATGTAATTGAGTAACTGCATTTGTTTCTATACATAGCTGTAATTGTATTTGGCTTTCATATGGCTTCCAGCAATTTTGAGAAGTGGAAAGTACTCTCGATTTCTCTGTGGCTGGGGGGAACTATGCAAGACCATGAACAGCAACAGTTTCGGAGTTGTTGTTCTTTAGTTCAGCATTAATTCAGAGTATTTAAACATCTCAGTATGAGCTTAGCTCTTTAGATGTGCTTTACGCTGCATTTTATTTAATGTTCTTATTAGCTTGAAGTGAAACTAGTGATTGTACTCTGTGATACTGTGAAGAGCTATGTGAGTATTTCTGAGGAAAGTTCCAAAACAGAAGTTTTTTTTTTTTTTTTAAATTAAATTATATCAAGATACCATCAGTTCTATGTGCATTCAATCTATTATGAACCCATATGCACATAGCTATATTTATAGATAGCAGTAGTGCATTCACATATAAATCTTGTTTCTGTTACGAAATTATGAACTTCAGATCATTTTTCTGTATTCCCAAATAATTATATAAATAAATTTAAAAACATAAATTACTATTCAGAGATGATCAGCATTTATTTTAAATATACTGTTAATTTGATTTTATGAAGCAGGTAAAAGTTTTGTAGTCCCACACATTCTGCCTAGCACTTTGTATAATGTTTATCATATTTATGTGAATTACAGTCAAGAACTTTCAAATAATACCCTGTACCATTAAAGTAGATCTGTATCTCCTTCCATCTAAATTCAACAGAATGTTTACTAGTTTTCTGTCATTTACTTCATATGATTACATAAAATTCTTGAATGCTTCTATACTAATTGATAGCAAAAAAACTAAGCTTTTTAATATATGTCTTTTTTTTCCCTCCACTTCTTGAACTATTAAAATTTAATTTTATATTAGACAACACATTTAGATGCTAAAGAAGATATATTTCAAAATCTAATATTGTAGTAATTTGTACAAACACAGCTGATGCTCTTTATTATTTAAATCTCTATTGGTTCTTAACCTTTATTTCTTCCAGAAAAAGATATAGCAGATGGTTGCTATGGTGAAGATGGATTTTTATATACTTCCATCCGTTTCAGACTTCTACACCAGTTGTAAGTGATGGAATGATCAGTCTAACATTATATGCAGTATTGACCATACTTGGGATTATTTGTCTGCATTTTTGTTTTTGTATATTTGTATAGTTATTTATTATGAGTACTTTAAAATTTTTATTTGCAACCCCTTATTAGGTTAATATGTGTTCAATTAATATATTATTTTGTAGACAGTTAAGTATAGCCACAGAAATAAGCTGAAGATGGTGAAGCCTTGATAATGATTTTTGAAGCTAAGTTAGAAATATTTTAGAAGTTCTTAAATTCAATGTTTTAGAAGTGATTTTCTTAGCAGGTTCCTGTAATAACTTCTCTTCTCCTTGGCCAATGATATAAACATCAGGCTGCCAAGAGTCACCAGCTCAGTTCAGTGTCTGTTGCAGAATGTTATGCTACTGAGCTATAATTTGCTGTCAGAGCAATTTTGGATTCTGTGATATTCCTCACATGTTAAAGATAATTTTAGTTTACCTTTACATTCTCCTTGAACCATTTTAGCTATTTATTTGAAATGCAAAAACTGTTATTTGCTTTAACATGAAACAAAGTTTTGTTATTCATTTGTCATGGTTATTTAGAGAAGCCTTGATCAACCCAAAAGATGGAAAAATACTGCATGAGTTTGTATAAATTAAAGTATAAACACAAATTAAAAAAAAAAAAATGCTATACATGAATAAAGTTCTAAAAATAGTATTAGTCATTTGTAAACAGAGGATAAATTTACTTACTCTTGCTTATGTAATTACAGAAAAGTAGATTTATAATGTATCAATAAAAATACTATTAAATAAATAAATAAAACTGCTTATATTTAAATATGCCAGTCTGTAGATTTAAGATCTATTTCTTTCAAAGTGTCATTATTATGAAATAAAAATTATTTACCTGGTGAAATCTTGGGAGTACTTTTCTTTTCATTTAGTTTACGATTTTTAAGTGTTTGTTGTAGCATTTTATGGAAAGTCTGTATTTTACATTTGCTGTAAAAGGGAAAAAGTGAATATTAAATTAAAATTAAAGTTACTTTGCATATTATGTAAATACTAAAAAAATATGAATTTAAACATTTATACATGCACTATGATTTTGAAATTTTCAAGAAAATCATTCTATCCTCATTTTGTTAAAATACATTTTACAGAAACAAAATTGTTTATAAAAGATGCAAATAATTTGGTATACTTTAATATACTAAGATGCTGAATAATAAACAAATAACACGATTGAAGAGATGAAAATTTCATGACATATAAATGCGTGTATCCAATAAACTAAACAAATTATGTAGTCTTGATTGCTTTATGAAAATATTGATAACAGAGAAATTTCCATACTGCTTTATAACAGATGTAATGCAGGTAAATATTAGCATTACATAAATAGAAATCTACCCACCTATATTTTAGAGAAAGAAAACAAATTATTATTCAGTAAAAAGAAAAGCAATCATTTCGAATAGCCATTCTGCCCTCATACCCCCACCCACTTTTTTTAAAGCAAATTTTGTTTTAGAAAAGTACACTGTCTTTAAATTCAAGAATTTTTCTCATGAAAATATACTAGCATATCACATTAGTTCTATAGTGGTATTTTAGCAGTAACATAAAGTTATGTCTTGGAAACAACATTCATTATTTAGAATAGTTTTCATCTGAGGCAACAAATATTTAATATTCTAAACTAAGTTTTAAAAACTATTTATTTTATAACAGCATAAAATTATCTGTGTAGATATTCATAAGCCATACAGTTAAATATTTACATGAATAACTTTAATCTATGAAATTTATCAAAAACTGGCCTTCTAGTGCTCAGTTTATCTATAGTACTTGGTATTCTGTGTTAAATATAAGCTACCAAATGTTATTATCATAGATATCTGCATTTTATTGAATGTTATTATTCTGTCACTATTTTTCCCTTCAGATATTTCAAACAAATGTTAATAAAATGCAATCTATAATAATCAGAGAGTTTACCTGTGTGTATGTGTACTGCATAGCATACAGATGGATAGGCCTACAGCTAATGAAATTTGCTGCACATGTTGCTTGGATGGTAAAGATATGCACTTCAAAGTGCGTTTTTCAGAATTTCATGCAGATTTAATTATTTGATACTGAAAGCATTGATTTGTTGATTTTTAAAAAATATTTTTTTAAACAACCAAATAATCACAGAATATCACTGTTTGCATAATCAAATAAAGTGAGAAAAAATTATCATATAAGCAAAATTTATTAAAATCTCTAATGTAATTCAATGAATTTTCAAGATTTTACCAGTTTTTTTTATGGTTATATCTTTATTAACTTTAAATTTCCATATAAAAAATACATATTTTATATCATCTTGAAATTTCCACATACTATAACACCAACTTTTTACTAGCTTTTGAAATAAAAATGATCTAAAAACTAACAAAATTTGGTATGCTCTTTTGAGGTTAAAGGTTGGAAAAAGAAGCTAGAGAGGTAACCAAAGATTAAAACTTTGCAGTCAGTCATGCATTGGAATTGGCATCAGTGCGGAGAAGTGGCAAATGCAGATAAACAGGCAGCACCTTCTTTCCCCCGAGACACTAAAGGCTACGATAAAGGAAGATGACTATAGCTGCCAAACCATGTTTAACATGATCAGAGCTTTAACATTCTAGAAGAAGATGCCTATAGAAATTTAAAGGCACACAAAGGGAGAAGAAAAAAAAAAAAAAAAAAAAAAACCCACCTTTCTATGCTTTTAAGGTTTCCTAACACTGGTTGACAGTGATGATTGGTACAAATGGGTTGGCATTTGCAAGCTGAAAGCTCTTTTAATTTATCACTCAGAAAATCCTATTTAAGGCTTATTACACGAGACAGTCTGAATAATTCAGAGCTGCCAACTTCAAAATTTTAAAAGCCAGCTTTTTTTTGTTAAACATAAAAGTTAAGACAGCCGGTTTGAAAGGAACTGACTTTAATTCACTTTATATGTGCTAACTAAATTCATTCTTAATTTTCTTATACTTTATTAAGAAGATCTTGTAGAGTGGAGAAAAGCTTTTATTTATCAAAGTATTTCTAAATATGATGAGAATAAAATTAATAATGAATGTACACAGTATTTGTACAAAGCAAAATTAAATGCAAATATTAACTGATTAAACATTGCTTGAATCTTCCTGTAAATAACTACAAGCATTTACAGTAGATTATGACATATCAGATCCAATGAAATTTAATAAAAAAAATTTAATAAAACAAAGATAATTAAAACGCAATAAGAAAAATATACAATTCAGAAGAAATAAAATTTAATAAAAAGAATTTTTCTGAAAATCATTAGAGATAGGAGAATGAAATTTGCTTGTTTTAAGTTTTGCTAATTCAATAAATTTTACTGGGAAACATTTTCCTAAGTTAAGGCTAATTTGAACCCAGTTCAGGAATCTTGGAATGAAATTTATTCCAAAACCTTGAATGGCATCTAGAAGAAAATTTATCCATTTTTTTATCAGAACAAAATTAAAACAATTTCAGGGAATGATCAAGACACACAGGAAACAATCTGTCAAGACTGACAATCTTGTCAAGCAATTTAATATGAAAGTTGACACTGATGATGTCAATGAGTTGGTGAACTGATATAGTGAGAAACTAAGTTCATAGAAACGCATGAGCAAATTGCTACTGAAAAAAGATGACTCACTCACCAACCAGATGTACTAGAAAGATCTGGCTAATTTGAACCCAGTTCAGAAAGATCTGGTTGGTTTTGGGGTAAATTTCACTAGAAAAGGGCACAACTGAAAGCTTGACAAAATTCTCAGCTCAGCTAAAGAAGGGTAAAAATTTTTTGGAGAATATAGACTTTAATGAAGCAAGCATTCTAATTATAAGGCAAGGCATAAAAAAAGTATTATCCTGCTATGAAGAAATTTTTAGCAATAAAAATGTGAACGAGTTTTCAGAATAGTTTGTTAAACATTATGAAGACATTTGCACCAAAACACTTCTGTTTATGCAGCTCATTTATTTAATACTATTTTGCATTGAAATGTGTGAAAACAGCATTATTTATTATATACTTTTCTCCTTGGCACATGCTTTTCATTGATCCCATAACTTTGGAATATTACTACAGTCAAAAGTCTTTAATCCGGACGTCCACAATCCGGAATGATCTATAATCCGGACCTCAAAGCTACAAACTTTCTGTGAATGCATAAACGCATAATGCGGGGGGGGGGAGTCACGGCGCGCAATGCACTGGAAGTTGGTCTGTCGGCACTATCCTCATCTTCAGGGCAGATGTTTTTATTTTATTCTGCTTATAATTCCTTACTAAATGTAGTGTCTCATCTCGATGTACTCCAATATTGTTTAAATCAATTTTCTCGTTATTACATACTTGCCAACCTATGACACTCAAAAATCAGGAGATTTTTCACAATGTTAAAAAGACTTTTAAATGATAAAAATATAGGTTTTTAATAATGAATTAACTTTAAATAGTAACTAATTCTTGAATGCAAGCAACACAGAAATACCTTACCATACCTGCCAACCTCTAAAGATAAAAATTCAGAAGAACACGAAGAATTAATATCATGCTTTGATATTAAAAAAATAACAATTTATACAAATAGAAAAAAGAAAATTGTACTTACATTAGTAAATCTCAATTAAGTAGTAACTAAAAAATTTATTAGGAAATATAAAACAAGAACTTAATGTTACACAAAAAAATTATTGCAGTGAATTTAGAGTGCATTTTTGGCTTTAGCCAAAAATTCTTTGGAAATTTCCTGTCATAAAATTAATAAATTATTTGCAGAAATGATATTACAACACATTTTTGCTTTGTGGAACCGGAAACAATCCACGTTCGCTGAGTAATTCCCTTGCTGCTGAAGCGAACGCGAAAAAAAATAATCTGGCGCCCACAAAGAAAAGAGTGGGAGAAACAAGTTCAGCGCATTGGATTGGCTGGTTAAGCGGCGAGTTGGGAGAAACCGCAGGTTACTGGATTCGAAGTAGTCGGTAGTTGGCGGTAAAACACGATGCAATTGGCGAAAATCGCTGAATTGGCGAAAAATTCTAAAATTTCGACAAAAATCACTAAAAACACTTGAAAAAGGAAAAAAATCGTAAAAAATGGATTACGATCGTAAAATCGTAAAGACAAACGCATTTTCGTAAAAATTACGAAAAA